CTTCTCTAAAAGCTGATTTAATTTTACCTTAAATGAAGTGCGTGATTAGTTTGAGAGGCAAGCTGTTCATCAGATTCATAAACCCTGACCAAAATATATTCTATATACAAGTTTTAGCTCTATTACTATTCCTAATGAGATACATCAAGCAGTCATTGATTCCTATTATACAAATAGATTGGAGTAAAGCAAGAAATTTAGATATATTTATTGATTTGCAAAAGATTTATTATCAACCTATTGCTTATCAAAGAAACATTAAAAAGTTATATGCAACTTCTCTAAAAGCTGGGTTTGATTTTACCTTAAATGAAGTATATGATTGGCTTGAAAAACAAGCTATATATCAGATACATAAGGCTCGTCCTAGATATATTACACAAGTAAGTTTTATTTCTATTACTACTCTTAATGAAGTCCACCAGATATTCTCTATATGTTTTATGATAAGATAGGATAAATTACCTATCTTTTTTATCTTAATGTGGTGGATGTGACTTCAAGATATAAAGTATCTATCTCTATTGATACATTTAGTGTTAAGGATGAAAAGGGCATCTTGACCTCAAAAACTATTGCTCGAGCTCTTGAGAAAATTTATAATGATTCTAAGTGTTTTCTTGTTTGATCAAAATTGCTAAATACTGATAAGGGTTCTAAATTTAAGGGCGAATGTAAGAAGTTGCTAAAAGAACATAATACTAGATTTCAGAAGGTTAAATCTAAGACAACTGTTGACATTGTTAAAAGATATAACTGAACTTTAACTGAAAAGATGTTTCCATCTCAGGATACTTCTGATCTCTTAACTTTGTATTTAAATAAACGATTTTGAGTTTAGGTAAAAAATTTGCCTATAGTTGTTAAGAACATTAATAATTCTATCACACATCAACTTAGTATTTCTCCTGCTAATGCAAAAAAAAAAGAAAAGGTGTTATGTCTAAGCCTTCTAAACCTTGTGATAATCCTATAGAATATGATAAAGAGCAATTATTCTATAATAATCTTATAAGATATTTACTTAAACCTGGTAAGTTAGAAGGTAGTGAAAAAAAACGTGTTGGAGATATGAATTGGTCTCCCAAGTTTATCATATCTGGAAAGCTTTAGTACAAAAAATTCAGCCAGTCTTATACTGGCTAGAAGATGATAAATACTATAGTCCTAAAAGATCTTTTATAAGAGAAGAACAATCATTTCTCTTGATACTTAATTACCACCTCAGTGGGTATTTACAAATTAAGAAAGTCTTCTTCATCAATTTTCTCTTTTTTAACAAAATGGTCTTTAGCTAATTTATAATATAATTTATATAGTTCCATAGTAGTATTAAGAATTTCAGAATCTTTTCCATACCAGTCTTTGTAATCATTCATAATTGACTTATGCTTATTCTCATTAGGAAATATTATAAGTGCTAATTCTTTTAATACATATTCTTTTGGATTTTCTACTTAGCGCAATTTTTTAATTCTTTCTTTATAACTTTGCATGAATTTGCCATCCTTAGGCTTTCTGTAATAGAGTTCTGCTTTGATTACATTTATTAATGCCTGCTCGATTTCCTGAAAGGTTGGCTTTGCTTCAGATAATTTTGAATTTATATACTTATAATGTATAAAGAGATCTGCCATTCACTTTTCTATATTGCAAATAATTTTGTTTAATTAAATTTTTCATTCCTATTGTAAATGATAGCATCTTATACTTGCGATTATCTTCATAATTCTGGCAAGATTTATGGTAAAGCATGTACTCAACTTGAAGGATGTCGACAACATTAGAAGACTAGAAAATGATATCCTTCTACTGATTGTGACAAACCTACTACTACAGCTTGTGGGTAATATGCTAAATATATTAAAGGATACTATGTAATGTAATATTATAATAAATTATGAAACAAGGCTCAGAAATTAGACTTGATAAAGGTGAGACTTAGAGGTGAGACTTGGCATATATACCTTAAAGGTTTAATTTTTTTGTCTTAGGATTTTTGTAAAGAAAATGAGTTTGAAAGATTTCTGTATATTGAGAAATTGTTATTATATTAGAACATGCTCAATAAACTTTTAGTTTACAAATTTATTATCCTTTAGAGGTGTGACTTAGAGGTAAGACTTAGCATATGATATGCATTTTAAGCTTGCATGATCGGGTTCAGCTCAAATCACGTCACTTTGTTCCTTGATTTTCAATGACCTCTCTGGAGGCAAGCAGAATAGCATAAAAGTTATTATTCATATTAGATTTGCAATGTCAGGCTCAGCTCAAATCACGTCACTTTATTCCTTGATTTTCAATAACTCCTTCAAAGGCAAACAGAATAGTAAAAATTTTTTGAGATATTATTTGGAATTAAAATTATGCTAGAATTGCTATATTAAATAGTGTAATTCTTAGTATCAAATAGATTAATTTCTAACCAATTTTGATATCATAATTTAGATTTGAGTCAAAATAAGCTAGAGGTTTAAATTTGATAATTGATTCATATAGCTAAAATAGATTTGTAGGTGGTCAGAAATCTTTCTTAGTACTATTTTGAATTTTATTCCAGAATCCTTTTGTTTGCCCTCTGTTTTAATGATAAAAAAAGAAAGTCTTAAAATGAAGAAACATGAAAAATGCAGAAATTGAAATTGCTAATTTAGTCAAAAACTTAATGTCAAAAAATAAACTTCCGTTTTTTTTAAAAAAAGTAGAAGTTAAATATGTGTTACCAATCATAAATACCAATCATACTAAGCTTTAATCTTTTATAAGTTTATACACAAAATGCTTTTTTTATTTCATTCTAATAAAAATCCAATTCACTATCTATACAGAATGCTTTTTTTTATAAAAAATTTGAAATAATATGTCATCAATCATAAGTGCAAATCATGCCAAACTTTGATCTTCCATAAGTTTATAAAAAATCTGTTTCACTATATAAATAAAATTCTTTTTCTATTTCTAATAAAAATCCAGTTCACTATCTACATAGAATGCTTTTTTTTATTTCATTCTAATAAAAATCCATTTCACTATCTACACAGAATATTTTTTATTTCATTAATCTATAAGAACAAAAAATTCTCTGAGACTTTAATTATTGTTGTCGTGAAATATTTCATTAATATTAAAAGTAAATTAAGTAAATTATTTATTTTATTTATAATTTCTATTTTAAAATATTAAACAGTTTCGATTTTTATTAATTCCAATTCCCAATTTCTGATTTTTAATTTTAAAGTTTCAGTAAATTTATAAAGTTTGAAAAATCCAATTCATGAAATTCCTGGTTATGATTGCACATAGATCCTAAAAATTAAAAAAAGTATTAATTAGAGCCAATTTTAACTTTCTATTTCCATTTGATTCCAATTACCATTTTTAAAATTCCTGATTCTGAAGTTTCGGATGATCCTAAAAAATAATAAAAAAAAGAACATTAGTCTATATTCTTAGAAGTCAAAAAAAAATTTCACTCGCCTTTAGTATTTTCCTAATTCCTGATTCCTAATTCATGAAAACTCTTAAAAATAAAATAAAGAAAAAGAAAAGAAAGTAAAACAAGAAAAAAACAAATAAATCTTACCTAAATTTTCAACCAAGTTCAAGTAAATTTAGTAAATCTACAAAAAGAAAAAATTAGTCAGTAAAAGAAAAATGAAAAAAATTTTAAAGAAACTAAATCAAACTCACTATTTCAAGCGAAGCCAAGTCAAAGGCAAAAAGAAAAGAGAAAGTCAGTAAAAGAGAAATAAGAAAAAAAAATAAAAAATAAAAGAAAGTAAATGAAACTCACTATTTTAGGCGAATTCAAGTTTAGAAGCTATAAAAGAAAAGAACTAGTTAATAAAAAAAAAACAAGAAAAAAAGGAACTTAAAAAAGCCAAACAAAACTTACTATTCTAGCATTCCAGACGAACCAAAGTTTAGAAGGCGAATCTACAAAAAAAAGCTAGTCAGCAAAAGTTGTTCTAAGGTGAGAGAATCCAGTATAAAAATTTTTAAAAAGAAAAGTAAATTGGCAAATCACATTAAAAATCAGATGATGATTTACAAATCCACTTGAACAGGTTGATTCCTAAAAAAAAAATACTGTTTTTAATCATTCTAAAAAAAATAATCTAAAAACTTACTATGAGTTTCACTTGAAGAGAAAGTCCATGCTGAATGCTAAAAAAAAGAAAAAAAGAATGGTTAATATCATTCTAGAAGAAAGAGATTTACTAAAAGAAGAAAGTTCAGACCGTTTCCTAAAAAAAAGAAAAAGAAAAAAACAATTAGCTCAAAAAGAAAGTTTGGGTCAATTTCTAAAAAAAAAAAAAAAACAAAAAAGAAAAGTTAATATTATTCTAAAAGACTCACTTATAAAAAAAAACTTACTAAAAAATCCACTTAAAGAGAAATTCCAGGCTGATTTTTCTAAAAAAAAAAAAATAGAAAAAAAACAGTTAAAACTAGTCTAAAAGAAGAATAATTAAGAAATAAAAAATAAGAAACAAAAAAGGAACGTTACTTTCAAAATCTAAGAAGTCCAAGCCTTTTTACGAGAGAACAGAAAAAATGACTGTTCTTATTAGCTTTAGCATGATTTATTGAACGAAACTTTTCGTATAAGTAAGAAAATTTAAAAAGTTTTTTTTATATATTATTTTATTTTTAATATTAAGATCAGCAAAGCAATAACTGTAATAAGAATATTCTATTTTTAAACTGCAGATTGTCAATTTGTTTATGTGTATCAAAAATTTTCAAACTCAATTATCTCAAAATCAGATTTATGGCAGTTTCTAACTTTTCTAATGCAAAGGCTTATATGTATATTTTCCAATTTTAAATGGAATAGCTAATTTTAATTTGTTAATAAATCTAGATCTTTATATAATTAAAATAAAAATTAATTAATTAGCATTAGTTTATTAGAAGTTTAATAATAATAACATTAAAATATAAATCTTACTTTCGTAATTTTGGATAGAATTGGTATTAATATTAACAGGTTTCTAATATTCTAATTTTTCTAAAGCTTTTATAAGAATGCGAAATTCCTTTATAATTTCAGGTTTCTGTAATGTATTCTCATTCAAAATTTCTATATATTCTGCTTTTTCTTCATTAACTATAGGAATTAACGAATTTTAATTTTCTGCAATTATAACTCTTTAATTAATTAAGTACTCAGCATTATTTAGAAGATTAGTTGTATAAAATAGCAAAGGTTCTTTAAGCAAAGCAAATTTGGGTTTTTCTATCCATGGCAATTCAATATAATTCATCAAAATCTTATAATAGTTCTGCAATTGTTTTGAATTGAATGGTCTTCTTGATTTTTTGTATTTCTTAGGATAAGCTCTATCAAAAAATCTAGTAAATAAAGCTGGAATTTTATATCTATTATCTAATGTTTTATAGGAACAAATATTAATATACCAAATAGATTTTGTTAAATCAAAAACAAATTTTTTCCAATATTATTTGCATTGTTTTTTCCTATCCAACCACTTCTGTTACTTCTTATCAATTCATTTAAATCTATACGTAATTGATCCATAGAATTTTTTGCTATTAATGTAAATTCTGGAAGATAATTAAGCATCAATGTAGATTTCATTAATTCAAATGCATTGATTGTATTTATAGCTAATTTATTATTAAGATTATCAATTAATTTAAATGTTACATATTTTCTGCACTGCTTAACAGTTTCCCATATATTATATTTCAATCCTAATTTTTCCATTTCACTTGTTTTTGTATAACTAAAATGTGCAATACAATTCTTTTTCCATAATACTGTCTTTAATTCATTAACTATCACATTATTGAAAAAATTGTTTATATTTATATTCTTATTAACAGAAAGTTCTTCCCATTCAAATACTATTTTAGAATGATGTAAAACATATACAATTATTATTGGCATATCAGATTTTGTTTTAAAAAATAAGTGGGTGGAGTAGATGAAAGATAAATTTACATAGATTTAACAATTTTATCTTTATTTATGTAATACAAGATATATTTGTATAATATAAAATATAATACAAAATACATATAAAAAAATTTATATATAAAAAAACTAGGTAACTGTGTTAATTTTAAATTTTTATGTCACAAGAATCTAAAAATTAATTTGGTCCAGCCTAATGATTAGTACAATTAATATAATTCATACATCATAATAATTAATATAAAAATTAGTACAAGTATAGTACAAGTATAATGTTAATTTTATCTAATACATACAAAATTTCCAATCCTAATATAATTAGAGATTCTAGTTAAATCCTAGATTTTATTCATCAACCTTAACTATAATGCTTATTTATATAATCTATTAAATTTCATATCCTACTACTTATCAAAATATTTTTGTAATACTACTTATTATATAAATTAGATAAAAAAATTAATGATATTTCTAATTATACTATATAAAAAATATATTCAATATAATCTAAATTTTAGTTTATTTGAAAATTAAATCATAATAATTAATTATTAAAATAATATAAATAAAAATATTTGTTGGTAATTTTAAGTATGATTCAATTTTATAAATTTATTATTTAATTAAATATATTTAATTTTAATAATATATTGATAAATAAGAATGCTATTCTAAATTACTAAAAATTAGTTTCATAAAACTAGTTTTAATTGTTTTTGCTATTAATTAAACTAGTTTTAGCATTTAATTAACCAATTTTGATAAATCTATATTATGGAATTTTATTTTTGAAAAATAATACTTTTAGTAAAATAAATTAATACAAAAAGTTACTAATTAATATAAATTTTTTTTATAAATATTTTTTAATATATTTTAAATTAACTTAAATTAAATTTCAAGAAAATTTGTCAGTTAAATAAAAAAAAGTATTTTAGATTTATTTATTTTAATGATTTATCAAATATGAAAATCCATATATAATTAGCTAAAATAATTTAAATAATAAAATTAATTTCTATTTTAGAAAAAGGGTTTGTTATAACGATAATAATTTTCAATTAATTATAATTCTATTATAACTCTATTATACTTAAAAAGAAAATTCGGCTTTTTTTAATTGGTTATATACTGTACGTTAGATATTCAAAACCTTTTATAATAATTATTAAAAAATATATAACGTTAAAAATTTATTAAACAATTTTAATAATGTTAACTTCTAACCGTCGAAATAAAAGTTTTGTAAAGCAATACCCCTGCATGTTTATTACAACTGCACATATATATTTTTAACGCGTTTTAAAGAAAACAAATTAAGATATTCCTGTACTCATTAGATAAAAAAAAAAAAAATTATTGTTATCCCATTTGTTTTCATATTACAAGAAGAAAAATATATGATAATAATAAACAATTATTGTAGAAAATAATGGAGAAATCAATAAAAACGGAAAAAAAAAATTGATTGCGTAAAGAAATAAAATATGTATATATTATATAAATTTCATAAAAAAGAGAAAAAGAAAAAAATATTTTTATCCCAAAAAATGTCCTTTACAAAATAAGAAAATGGGGTGAAATAGAATGCTTTACATAAAAATGCTACAATATATTCAACTAAAGTAGAAAAAAGACATCAAAGCCTATTCAAGACTTAAGAAAAGTTCCACTATTATGCTATTAACTATATCACAAATTTTATATATATGTTTAAACATATATACTTGCAAAAGATTTATAAATTTATGCATTTTTCAGACATTCACGACAATAACTTACAATGTCAACTAAAAATCCCTTCAATTAGAACATTGCGGATTTTCTTCGATCGGCAGCCGACTTGCTTCTTCTCTCAGCAGCAGCAGCATAAAGTTTGTTAACAGCCTTACGACGAATGCGTGTGGCAAAGTTTTTGGCCATATCTGGGCCTTTAGGCTGACGAATAGGTAAAACCGCATCAGGATGCACCTTCATTGGACCTCCAAAAACACTAAAAAAATCCGATAAAATTTAATTAATGAACTCTACTTAAAAAGCGAATTTCTTAATCAAAATTAGAGAATTGATACATTATAAAAAAAATTGTTTATTTACCTTCTACGTCTCTCTTCTTTTGCAATTGATGGAACCGTACTAGAACGCTGTTGATGTGATACTCCAGTTGGTGTTTGTGGAGGAATATAATCTTGTTGAAGATCATAGTAATAATAACAATAAGAACTTTCATCAGCTTCCTCTTCGTATGTCATGGGGTAGTAGTCATAAAAATCGGTTCCAGTATAACCATTGGAAGGTAAAGGTCCTGGGGTAGGTGGCGAAGAGCCCTGAGAATCAGAATCATCGGGATGACTAAGAACAACGACAGGAGTTCCTTGGTTTAATTCAACTTGACGATAATTCGAGACAAATCGAAGTGGAGCAGGACTTGCACTATAACGCCTAAATCTAGCTTGTTGTTCTACAGCTTGAAGATAAGCTGCTTGTTCATCTAAATATAATAATGCTTGTTGAGGAATTGTAGCTGATTGTGGTGGTCTTATAGTCTGTCTGACGTCTTTAGAAAATCCAGATGATGATTTGGCAAAGGTCGCTGTTTTGGGAGGATTGGGAAGGTTTAAAGCTCTATTCACTTTTGGTGGAAAAGTAGCCGTTTGAGGAACTCTTCCCAAATTATTATGAACTTGAGGTGAAGACTTTGACAAGTTAAGTGGTTTTGGGGTGGGTCTAGAAGAACTGGCCGACTTTTGTTGTTGCTGTTGTTGTTTGTTGGATGCAGTAGTTACAACATTTGAAGAATTTTGAATATTACCAACGTTATTTGTCTTGGGAGGACTCCTAGACAAGTTATAGGTCTGTGGAGGAGACTTTGAAATAAATATATTATGAGGTGGCGAAGTCCTGTTATTCATATTCGACATTTGAGGTGAAGACCTTCCTAAGTTCATTTGTTGCTGCTGTCTTTGTTCGTTTTTAACGAATGTAGCAGTCTTCGGTTGCATTACATACACTTGCTGTTGTTGACTTTGCCTTGAAAATGGAGCTGTTTTTGGCGTTCTAATAGGTGATGCTCCTTGTTGCAGATTATTATTATTATTATTATTATTATTATATACGTTTCTGGAAACACTGCCCATATTCTGAGCACGTTCCACGTTGATAGACTTCAAGTTAGCAGGTCTAGATTTGTTACTACTATTATCCCTACGTTTACCCTGGTCACCGTTTGAGCTGTTATTCCTCCAGGATTGTCTTGTTGGATCTTGGTTGGACGGTTGATGTTGAACTTGCACACCGCCGGCGTCCATTATTTGCATGATTATTTTACAGGAAATGTGTATTTTTTTAAAAGTAGTTCTTTAAATTAAAGAAAATAAAATAAAAAAATAAAAAGGTTGTTTGTTTATTTGTTTTAAAAGGTCGTTTTTTTGCTTTAGTTATTTGCAAAATAATAATTACAGTGTACCGTGCGAATATAAAATATAAAAAAAAATACAGTAAGAAACAAAGCGAGAAGACGAATATATAAAGTCCAAGAGTAATTGTAATGAACAAAAAGAAAAGTTTTCTTTGAACGGGAAACGAGTGACTGGGTACCTATAACGATGCAGGACCAGCCAGTGGCCCACTTATCCCAAGAGTGATGCGAGGGAAAGTAAAATTCTTGGAGAAGCAAAGATATACTTTTCGACCTCTACCTGTGCTATTTTTGACAATTTTTGGGGGATTTAGGGGTAAAAAAAGATTACAAATGTGATTTGAGGTTACATGTGGTAAAATCGAGGGGTGACATATTATATTGCAGATTGCATTTTGTGATTGCTGCGGACAAAACGGAACTAAGCGTAATTGTTTATAGATTTAGGCGGAGCCAAGTGGCGCTAAATTGTTTTATGATTTTGGTAAAAACTTGATGTGAAATAAGAAATTGTGTTTAAGCCCACAAATCTTTAATCGTTTTATATTTTATAATGATTATACAATGATAAATATTCATTTTATATATTCTGAATAGAGTCAAAACAGAAAGTGATAATAATCAAAAAGGTCGGAAATTTATCTTGGGTCGAAAAATATTGGGATCACAGGTCAATCCATGAGTTACTATTCATCCATTTATTATAAACATATTACAAATATAAAGACAGAGAAACCAATTGAAAGTTTAGTACTATGTAACCTAAAAATCTCACGATGCGCAAACAAAATTCGGTTTGTTTTTTTTTATTGTAACAATATTATAAATAATCGATTTCTTAATATTGTTTGTTCTATCATCAAAATAGTCGTGTAATGTTTTGTGGGAATTGATTGGTAAAGGAAATCAACTGTTGTGAATTGACAATGTAAGAAAGAACCGAAGGCGAAGCAAAAATAAAAATCAGGAAACAGGAAATACGATAAGTAAGGAACAAAGCTTTTTAACAAGGGAAAATAATTATTTTGTTGATGTCGAAACTTAGCCATAAATATTAGTGTTGTTGATCCTGACTTTCCTTTGTTTAAATTTTTCCTTTCTAGTTTATCACTTTCCCAATGTTTTTTTTGGTTTGGGCCGATTTACGGACGTGTCGATCACACATTCCTTAGATCGGACTAAATATTTTTGATTGTATTCAATTATTATCATTATTATTTCCAAACAAGGTGAAGATGTATAACTAAAATAAATTCGAGTTTAGTCGATCGCACTAGATGATATAATCCCTGATTTTTTTTCTATTAAATATTGATGTGAGTAATTTGGATCTTTTGATGGGTATCTAATGAAATCTTTACTAGATTTCATTTATAATCTAAAACTCAATTTCTTTGTGAAACAGATGATCTTTCATTTTTTAAAAGTTACATAATAATAAAAATAAATGTTTTTTGAATTCTTTTATAAATAGGTAATTTGGTTTTAAGGTTTAATGTTCAACTTTATTTAGATAAAAATTCTTATTCATAAATTGCTTGCATTTTTACATAAA